TTTTGAATTGAAGATTTGCAAGTGAGGAAATTCCAAGGAGAACGACGCTTTATATAGGAGAGATGCCGCCCAGACGGGCGAATGAAGAAATGACACGTGGCGGCTGAAATGATTTGCAATCATAACCTCTCGGGGAGACGAAACGGCACGTTAAATCGGCGGCTCTGTACCCGACTTCGAGAAGATTCTCCCGCTTTGGACCACCGTTTTTTGAAAATTCAAAATTCAAAATTCAAATATTTTGGGTTGGCGCTGGTTTTCCGAGACGATTTCCCCGCCGAAAAGCGACTGGGCTGTTCAAATTCCAGGAAAAGATCGCATGTGCTTCCCGCCCCTGATGGTCCCCACAGGACCGGGAATCGGAGGACTCCTTGATGGGTAATAACCCAAGGATACCACCCGGTTGGTTCACCGAACAGCACGCGTCTTTTTCAGCCCGGGTTATTTGACCGGTTGGATGAGGAGACCAGATGCCAATACTCGAAGATTTACTCAAGTGCACCTGGTGGGCCGGTCAGCCGCCTGACCGGTTGAATAATCAGAGACGTGCTTGACGTGCTTAGGATTATTATAAATACCCTTAAAAGCCTCATTTGTGAGGCATGTTTTGAATTAATCTACACGGCTTGTATTTGTAATAACTACTATTATCATTAATAACAAACCGGGTTACAGGTGATTCCACCTACAACCCTTCCGATTACTCACACTTAATATTTGCGTGGTAATTTACACCATCAGGTAATAAAATACTTGGGCTGAACGACATTAAAAAATTGAATCCAATCGATTAGTTAGTTCAACTCAAGAGTTTATATACTAATTATTTTACTATTGGACTTTCAATGTGAGATGACATTCTAACACAAAATTACCATTTGTGCACTTTTTCAAGTCAATAAAATGATTTGAAATAATTAAAAAAGTAATTTTAAATACATAAATAGTAAGTTTATGTAGTTTGTGTCCGAATAGTTTGTAAGTCTGGCATCACTCATAAATTTTGTGTGACATTTTTTTGAAAGCAGAATTAAGCAATTAGTATAGACTATACTCCGAAAATGAGAGACTTTTCCAAATATACCTTTTTTTGTTCTTGTCTAGTCGTCCTTACTTTTGTTTCCGGTAACGCATCACATAATTTTATAGATGATCACACCTTTTTAATTTCATATTTGTGTAATAGTCTATACGTCTTATAATATTTTTCCCACGCTCGAAAAAGGTAGATTTAAGGAATGTATAATTTTAATGTTTTCTTCAATTTTTTCTTTATTTCATTAAAGAGTAAGATATGATGTGATATACAAGTTATTAATGAATATATATGATGTGATTTTTTTTGAACCAAAAGCAAACTGATATTCATCACCACGTACAAATCAAAGATACAACATAATTCAGTTAAAAACAAGAAGCCTCCTACACAAATCCCACGGCTAGAATATTTCACACAAGCTATTAAGCTAATTAACACATACTAGCTCTTCTGGAATTCAGGAAAATGGTGACCTGGAAGATTATCCAACGTAAAGCTTCGTCTTCAGAGATATACTCATTTTAATGCAGCAGATATATAGAACCTTGCGGGCCCTCCAAATAGAGTATACACAAGCTATATATACTGCCACTATCTTTCATCTCTTTTTGCTTGGTGTGAACTTCTTCATCTTCTCAATAATATCCTCAATGGTGTCCCCCTCAAACTTATAATTGCACGAGGTAGAGGCCCTCATATAAATAGCCTTTGCATAATGACATCTCTAGAAAAGGTGTTGAAAGTCTTCCTCACCATTTTTACAGAGTGCACAACAGGTATCAACCCCCTGGTAAAATTGTCGGTTCCTATAAAAATCTGTTTCGGTTCAGGTTTTATAAAAATCTTTGGACTCAAGGTGGAGTTTGCATCTGTTGGTGTTTTAGCTTGAGTTATTTGTCTCCATGCGCGAGTGAAATCTGTTTTGGTGTGTCACGACACTTCTGAACTCAAGTAAAACAATATGTTCCCGTCTTTTAGTGACATTTGTGTCCTTGGTTGGACTTCCGGTACCTATGGTACATCTGGCCACTTCATGAAGGAAATCTGGTACATCTGCTGTTTTTTGAGGAGATTCAAGTCAAGGTGGAGATTTGTTAGAAAATGCATTGAATCTAGTTGTATTCTAGACCTATCAGGATTACGACTAGGAATAAGATTAGGATTATCTTTCCTATTCTTATCTTTATATATGTAGTAGGATTAGAATTACCTATATCCCCTTCCCTATATATATAGCTTGTATTTGTACTCCTCAATTTATGGTAGAGAAAATCTGTAATCTGGTGAGAAAGTACTGATCAATAAAAGTTTTTTCTTCTGTCCATGGAGGTTACTAACAGATTGTTAGTAAACCACGTTAAATCTCTGTCTTTTTCGTGATTGTCGATTGTTTGTGTTCATACTTTCTCACGTCTGTCATAACAAAAACGGTGAATAAAAATTTTCTCTTTTGATTAAAATATTCAAATTTCTCATTATAAAATGTGAATAACTGTTGGAATTTTTGGCTTGTAATGGGATAACTTCAGACATAAAATCTTTGGGGTCCACAAAATTATTTTTCTAAAATAATTATGGACAAATATCCTTCCAAGTGAGCCAAGTGTTTCCACATATTGTGCACCAAAAATGGTATTAGGTTGAATGAGAAATTAATTCATGAAGTTGGACACTTGGAAAGAGTAAACACATGTATTCCCACATCGGATTCGGGATCTTTCATCTTTTATCTCTCTCAATCTCCGATTATTTTTCCGGTAAATAACTTTCCTTTCATTCCAGTTCGTCGGTGCACATCGTATGATGATTTTTCTAAAAAAAACTCCGTATGAGCATTACAAATATTGGTCTAATCCTTTAGAAACAAAGTGAGACATTCTCAAATTATAAACATATATTTTACTCTGTCTTCCCAAAAAACTTTTCCTAGAGAGAGTGAGTTTCAAAATAATATCGATGTCAAAAAGTGAACATCATCATTGTTTTCGAGGTTGACTTCCAAACAAGGAAAAATATATATATATATATAGTAACAAAAAACTTGAAGGAGATATAGTGGAATATGGAAAGAGATTGGTAAGATCTGGTTTAAGCAGCATTGATTTGGGTGACAGTATGCAGCAGATCAGGATCTGGTCCTGGTTATAGGATTGTCTTGACTAAAATTTCCAGAGTACTAACCTCAAATGGAAGTTGAAGCTCATGCATCAAGTCCAGAAAGAATAAAGCATCACGAAGCTCATTTTTTTTACAACCCGCAGACCAGTTCATTGTATATAATACTGTCAGGAACAACCCCATTTTTTGGCATTTCTTTGATCATGTTTTTGGCATATTCAAGAAACCCCTCTTGGCAAAGTCCCCTAACCATGGTCATGTAAGTGACCTTATTGGGGCGAAGACCTTTAGATGACAGGGAATTGAAAATATATATTGTAGTGCTTGACATTCCATCATTGAACAGTCCCTTAATTATGGTTGTATACGCAACTATGTTGGGGGCAGTACCCTTTATTCCATAATCCTCAATAGATCTAGAGCGTGAGGAACAGCACCTTGTTTGCAAAGTCCATCCAACAAAATATTGTATGTGAATATGTCCAGGTGTGTTCCAGCATCTATCATCTTACAAAACAGATTTTGAGCATCATGAAATCTCCCAACTCCAAATAAACCACCTAGTAGGGTGTTGTAGGTGACAACGTTTGGGTTCAGGCCAATGCTCGGGATAGTATCGAACATTTGCATCGCAGCACCCAATTCCCCATGCTTGTCTTACCTTTCATTAGGATGTTTAAGGTTTGGATATCGAGGTTGTACCCATTCCAAACCACTACTACAAAAAAGACTTTTTAAATCGGTTATTTTAACCCATTTAAATTGGTTTTGAACCGATGCAAAAGCCAGCGATGCAAATGCTCAAGTTACTTTTTGCATCGGTTGTAAAACTGATGCAAAAGCCTCTTCCCAGAAATGGCGCCTATCTTGGGAAGAGGCTTTTGAATCGGTTATTTGGTAATAACCGATTCAAAAGCTTCCCTTTTGAATCAGTTTTTACCAAATAACCGATTCAAAAGCTCTTTTGCCATTTCTGGGAATAGGCTTTTGAATTGGTTATTACTAGATAACCGATGTAAAAAAAATCAAAAGAATTTTTTGTTTGCTCCCGATCCACTACATTTTCAATTTTTCACAGAATTCTGTGTAAAATATACAGATTTAACAACAACAACAACAATTCAATCCATCAACACAACAACAATTAACACAAACCAATAACAAACACAAATACATTCACAAAACTCAAATGCCACAAAACAAATTAAACAAAAAAGTAAATATTTGCATCCACCACTACATCTTAAAATATACCAAGAGTAAAACAACTACTCTTCTAACTTTTAACAACACAACTAAGAGTCAAACAACTACACTCTACTAACATAAATTTAATACTATACAATATAACACAAACTTACACTAGTTCATCGAGAAAACCACCCGCCCAAAACTCTCTAACCTCTTCTAATTCGGCTCTAGTATAAGGCAAAGTAGACTGAAATACCTGCAATACGAAAATAACATACAACATAAACTTTAATAATCTATGAAAAAGAAAATGATGATAAACACTTCATTACTTTAAAAAACACTAAAATAAACTTACATCGGATAACGGTAAAGAACCTTGTGCACACATAGTGACGATGAGCCATAAAAATCGCATGGTATAATAACCACACTCAACGTTCCCTATTTGTTGGGGTACTCCGGGAACATCAACCCAATCCGATCGAGCCTTAAGCTGAGGCATGTGCCGTTCCCGAAGTAACCACCAAGACCTTTAATATATGTAAAAAAAATTAATAAGAAATTAATATCTTAACAAATAAAGAATTTCATTAATAAGAAATAAATTTCTTAATACTTACTCGTTGACGAAAGTCTTCACCTTCATTTTCTTATCCCCTCCGGCTGCCTTGATTATGTTTAGGAAATACACTTTGTTTTCAAACAAACGTATTACAACTAACACCCAATGATGCCTACAATTGAAAAGGCGTTAGTCACTAACTTAAAATAAAAAACCGAAATACATATTGGAAATGGTTTAGAAAACATACGATATCGATAGATACAACGACATAAGTATCCAGGGTCGCGATTAATAAGTCTCGAGTGCTCTATCCAGATACTGGCGATCTCCAAAATCTACCACGTACGCCATGTTCTCCGGACATAACAACCCGACAGACGCGATGTCGTGCTCCATCATATGATCGTGCAACAATCTAGTAATTTCACATGTAAATAATAATTACAATTATAAGAAATAATTATAATTATAATAGTAATTTAATTTATTCATACGTAGTGCTTGACATACCTAAAAAAACAATGATTATGGTCTGATCGACCTCTTCCCATCGCATGAACTCACGTATATTCTCCGGACGCATCCTCAGCTCCGTCTCCTCCGGATAGAGCATGGATTCGGGATCGAGAATGACGCTGATGGTAGGCAAAGCAGATGTGCGTGTCAGCCACTGACACAATTCTCTGCACCTCGGCTCGAATGAGACGTATGAGCTCTGGTCAACAACATCGTGTACGGGAGAGCTAGGAGCAGTGGGGCGTACACCGAGAATAGGACGAGATTTTCTTGATGAGAAGTCGCCATGTCGAGCTGTGTGCACCGGGGGCTACGAATATTTTCAAAAAAAAAGATATATGAAACACAACCCAAATGATGTTGAATAAAAAAGAATTAAATTTATTTACTTCTTATGTCTCCAAGGCCCACCAACGACTTTGGCCATGCAACGAAGCTCCCCTCGCAATCGGTGACAGTCTCTATATGCTCAGTCGGACAAGGAATGGTATATTCACCCATTCCAGGAAGCACAAGGGTCACATAGACCTTAACCTAGTGGGGAAGAAGAGGAACACCGTGAACCATATCTCCCGGTGCACGTGGGAAAACCAATCCATGTGCCACTATGTAATCTGCTGGATCAGAGATCCTCAAGTAACAAGCAGCAACCTACAAAAAAATTAGTTAACTAATGTCGGAAACAAGTAAACGTAAACCAAACTTGAAACCTAAATTAAAAAATATATGTACATCAGTGAGATCGGTGAAGTCAACGAAATCTGCAGACGCCTTGCTACTACGCTGCCCATAATGAGGTGCTATAGGAGGTGTGTGCTGCGACATGGATGCAAAGTCTGGAGCACCCCCAGACACAGATAGTCCATACTGCTGCAAAAGGGTAGGAGGACGCTGCAAAAGATCCTCCTCGGTCATATTGTTACCTTCGGGCATACGAGGCTTCATGTTGCCTTTGAAAACTTTACGTAAGCCCGAATATGACCCAACACCCCTCGTCTGCCCCGAGTGCTCAGCAGTCCCTAAAGCTCTAGTCAGTATATCATTGTGCCCATCTGGCACAAAGGTACCATCAACGACCTCTTTCTTCAACTGGACCTACAGTTAAGAAAGAAAAGAAGTCAAGAAATTGTAACCAAATAATAAACAAATATATTAACGTAATTGTAGATTATATGCTTACTATCCTATCACGAATCTCCATCAGTGCGGGGTCCGTAACTTCTGCTTGCCTCCCCGGGGTGTGACCTCGCAACCAAGAGTCCTCCCGTCCGAGTTGAGAACCCGTCTCGGTAGACGAACCAGTGATATCGACAGAAGTGGTGGCCTGAGAAGCAGCCAACTCACGGAGAAGCATGGCATATCCACCCCAGACCATATAGTGCGGATAGGTATTCTTCTTCTGTATATCCCTGTTCTTCTCGCTCAAAGCCTAAAACAATTGTTTAAAACAAATTAATATGTCAGTTAATTTCATTCAATGAAGGTAATTATGGTTTACCTTAGCTTCCGGAGTCTCCATCTGGACCTGAAACTCCTCCTAATGCTTTGGCTCTATGAAGGTGTAAAGATCAAAGGGAGTCTTACCGTAATGACCCCCACCCTCCGTCAAATAGGCTCCTCGTAAATATGTCCTGAAACTGCGATGTCTCGACGCTGCAACCGTCATGACATGCCGGGCCCCACCAGGAGGTATCACATATATATCTTACAAGAAAATAAAACAACAACTTATTATATATAGAACCATGTAACAATTAAAGTTAGTAGATTTGGATAAATAAAGTGGTACCTACCCGAACCCTGTCTAGTACCGTGGCCTTCAGGTCTTGCGGGACATCTTGCCAATTATTAAAAGTAATCAGCACTCTCGATCGGGCCTCAAACCCTACAAGCCCAGAAAAACTCCGAAACATACGGTCCACGTACAGGCTCACCACGCTCCCACTCAAGATCTATAGGCGGATGACCATCCCTCCTCCTCTTATACAACTTCTCGCACTTCCCTGCACCTCTGACCTTTTTCTTCTTCTGTTCGTCTGTCATACCTGCACAAATTCAAAATAATCTAGATAACATAAGTATAATAAAATTGAAACAACAATGAATTAAATGAAAATGATTAATATAAACAGAAAAAATACCTACAGCATTATTTTAACTTTTTCTTTCCCCCATCTATCAATAATCCTTCTTCGTGATCTTCGCGAATGTATTTTCTTATGATGTAACAAAAATCCGGCAGCACTTCTTCATTATACAAATGGTCTTTCTTTACACCATCCTAACCCATTCTTGAAATGTCACCCTCACTAGTAAATGTATTTCATTTTCTTTGACCTATCAAAATTTCAGCAGCATTTCCCAATGGTTCTCCAATTGCACGATGTAACGTAATTACATATGCACCCGAAGAACACATTTAGGAAAGAAATGCATTCACTATCTAAGTGAGAGAAGCATTTCAAAAACAGCTCCAAACTGGGAGTTATTTAAAATTTACTCCTAATGAGTAAATTTTAAACGGGTATCTAGGTCGGTCAATATATGTTATTTCTATATTATAACATCTCAGATCATGTAGAATCAAACAAAAAGTAATTAAACAACCTATTTTTGAAACGCAATCTATATCAAAATGTCACATTTCAACTAAAACATATACACAAAACATATATAATAAATTAAATATTAACCTAATGCAAAAATATATAATCAAATAATAGTATAATTAAATATTTAAAGTTAAAAAAATACCTTAAAGAAGCGACGACGGCGAATGGCAAGGGTGAGGATGACGGCAAACGGCAAACAACTGAAAGGCGAATGGCGAGGCTAAGCAACAACGGCGAACGACGAGGGTGAGGTGGACGAAGGCGAAGTGGAGCAGGGCTCGAGGCGGCACGGGCACGGCGACAGCGTGGCTGGGGAGTTGACGATGGTGAGGCAACGGCGAGGCGCACGACGAGCAACGGAAAGGGTTTGGAGGTTTTTTTCAAGATCGCGTAAGGATAAGGTAGGGTTGGATGTGTTTTAACAGACTCTTTTGGATCGGTTATTCCTAATAACCGATTCAAAAAGTTATTTGAATCGGTTATTAGGAATAACCGATCCAAAAGCTAAGACTCTTTTGAATCGGTTATTATGAATAACCGATCCAAAAGCTAAGCGGTACGCGAATTTTTTTTGCCATTTACATCGTTTGTTTTGCTTAACGGTGCAAATAGGGGGATTTATTTGGTCGTTTTTGTAGTAGTGAACCATGGCTTTAAACACATCCATCGCACGTTCCAAAAAACCGTGCGAGGAGTAGCCATCGAGCAACACGTTGTACGTGGTTTTGGTAAGTCTGACCCCTAACCGAGTCATCACACAGAAAAGTTGCCCAACTCCTTGGACCAGCCTTCTTTGAAAAAAGAATCAAGGTAAACATTGAATGTATGGACATTGGGTTCAATGTCATACATGAGCTTCATTCTCGTCTTTAATTGCACTACCTCAATCCATCAACTCTGAGAAGTCAGTCCATATGTTAGAGATGTGAAGGTGACAACATTAGGCATAATTCCCAGCGTCTCCATCCTATCCAGCAAGTGGATGGCATGGTCAACCATGTTATCCTTGCATAATGAATCTATGACTGTTGAATATGCGTGTAATGTTGGCTTGCATGTTCCTTTAGCCTCAAACAGGTTAAGTAACTTCAGTGCATAGGTTGTCTGGCATGCCTTGCAAAGGCCATAAGAAAAAACAAACAACATGACTGCGAAATTCACACAACTTCTCATTCAATAACCACTAAAACAACCATGTGCCATCGTGAAACCTATCTCCAAGGAACAACCCTCGAAGCAAGGTGGTAAAGAAACCGTGTTCGGCACTAGGCCAAGCTTAAAATGAGTGCCTAATAGAGCAAAAACCATATCTACTTGGTGCAAATGGATAAGTGCATCACTACAAAAAAACCACGTAATTGTCACGGAAATATAGGCACGGATGGTCGGTGCCTTCACCGAGGAAAAAAATTAATGCCACACATCGTTATTTAATACGTGAAGGGCGTTGGCTTTGGCTTTTTCGTGCCTAAATCCGTGCCAACACCGTAATTGTAAAATCGTCACCAGCTTCACTCGACGACGTTAAGTCCATAATATAGGCACATAATATGTCGTGCCAAGTCCGTGCCTTCTCCCAAAATATTACAATAATTAAAAAGAAAATTTTCAACGGATTCCTAAAGCTTAATTCATATTTATAATAAAACAAGGTTTTATAATTTAAATATATTATAATTCAAAGATAACAAAGCTAAAATTAGAAAAAGTACACGATACATGTTTTTTTTAACATGACATACAAAATAATGAACTAAAATAGTTATAAATTATAAAAACTTATACAAATAAAACATCTAAATTAGTTAATAACTTCTCTAGGCCTGACAGCGACGTGCGATCCATCTTCAACATTTTCATCTTTTGATTTCTGAGTTGGAAGTTTGTCAAAATATTAAATCAGTTTCTCTAACCTTCGAATCATTTTGAGTAGTCAAAGACCTCTTTCAGAAAATATATCTTTCTCTTTTTCTCTACTAGAATCATTATTTTTTCCCATAAATACAATAACTTTTATAATTGGAGCAAGAAGGAAAAAAAAGAAGATGATGAATATATAGAGTTTGTAAGCACGGAAATGCTAATGTCAAAGTACGTGCCTATGCCGTATGTACTGACAATTCAATAAATTATTTGAATCCATTTCATTCCTTTACGGAGTATATAAGCCAGAGAAGGATTTTACAAAGAAGTGCCTTTGGCATGGCCTTACAGATTTCACCTTTGGCACGGCCTGGGGCGTGCTTAAGTCCGTGCCTACGTTCTATTCTTTCACTCTTGTAACAAAGAAGTAAGTTTGGTTCTAAAAAAATATGAATTCTTGATATCATTCTATTAGCATTTTATTTTTGAATTTTTGAGTGTAATTTTAGGAAGTGCTTTCTTAAGATTTTATTTTAAAATATTTGATATTCTTTGCAGCCGTTGTGACTCAAGTACCATGTCAATATCATCTAGAAATTGGATGTACAACAAAAATGCTTTGCTTAAACGTGGTTTGACACCTGAATATATTGATGGTGTTGAAGAATTTATTTCATTTGCAAGCGCCCAAATTGAATTTCTTGATAGAGGGAAAATTCGATTTCCTTGCGGGAAATGTAAAAATATGCACTTTGTTACTGAGGATGATTTGCGTTAGCATCTATACACCGAAGGTTTTATTGAAAATTATTATATTTTGTATTGTCATGACGAAGTATTGAGCCCGTCATATTTTCCTCACATAGTTGTAAGTTCTCGAGTAGTTCCAGAGTCAGTTTCAGCATGGGGTAATTATGAGAAAATGGCATGGGAGCAACGAGTTGTGTTTGATGCTATGGCACCTACTGCCTTTCTTGAATCGTCTAATGTTAATGATGTTCCAGGCTCATCATCTCCTCAACACACTGATGATGTTAATACATTATTTGATCGATTTTTAGAATGTTGAATGTAGCTAATGAACCATTATACCCGGAGTGCGATGGTACATCGACATTAGCTGCTGTGTAAGAAATCTTGAGCATAAAATCTGATTGGAATCTCCCAAAAGCTTGTATGACCACATGGTTACAAAGTGTTGATGGATGACTACCAAAAGACAACAATTTACCTACTGATTTTTACAGTTTAAAGAAGATAATTTCTGAGCTCGGATTTCCTATCGTTAAAATTGATGCATGTCTTGCTGGTTGTAGGTTGTTTTGGAAGAACGATGAAGAACTGGACACATGTAAATTTTGCTGTGAGTCCAGATATAAGCCTACAAATGAAAGATGAGGGAAGCATAGCAAACGTCGTGCTAAATCCAAGTTGATATATCTACCATTTATCCAGAGATTACAATGGTTGTAGTTATGACAATAGCGAGACCAATTTTTACGGGGCAATTGACGATATACTTGAGTTCACGTTCGCAGGCCAAAAAGAGTTTAAAGTTGTTTTTTTCAATATACTTGGATTGACCCTATACATGGTGTGAAAAAACATCCAAGTTTAATATTGTTGATGTTAATGCATCAAAGATATATCGGAAAAATGAACCCTTTATTCTGGTGCAACAAGGTGCGCAAGGGTACTATGCGAAGTATCCGTCAATTCGTCAACGTGCATCTCCTTGGCTGTGTGCGTGTTTCATTCGACCACGAAAAAGCATTGCACATGCAACACCGAGAGAAGTAGACTTTGAAGCATTAAAACAAGAATTTTTTCAGCCACCACCAATTATCAAAACAACTCAAGTTGGTGTATTTTTGCAAGATATGAATGGGGGTGAGATACTAGCGCAAGAAGTACTAAATGATTTTGAAGAAGATGAATGAATTAGGCGAAGATACTGAAGAATATGAAATTTATACTGATGATGATTATGAGAGTGATTGATGTAGTTTTCGTACATTATTATGTACTCATGTATTTTCAATGAACTTTTCTATGTTATATGTGTTTATAATGATTCAAAGTCTAAGTTCTCATATTGTACTTTATCATAGCATTTCGCATTTTTTGGGTACTATAACACTCTTTTTTATTTAAAAAATATTATTTTTCTCGTCCCGAAATGTAAGCACCGAATATGTCGTGCCTAGCACGACACATTCAAAAGCCTGCAACTCCTCGAAACGCGAAAGGTCAGTCTGGTCTTAGGCACGGGATAGTCCGTGCCTACGATCGATACTGGAACCTTCTCTGGCAAAGCCATTGACAAGCTTTATGTAGGCACAGATATTACAGTGCCTATACCCTACCGTTGCCTGCATTAATTATGACGCGCATAAGTTACGGATGTAGGCACAGATATATCCGTGCATATACCCCCTGCCGTTGCCCGCATTAATTATGATATGTACGGGCGTAGGCACTGATATATATGTGCCTATACCATGCCGTTGTCCGCATTAATTATGACGCGCATAAGTTACGGACGTAGGCACGGATATATCCGTGCCTATAGCGCGTCTAATTAGAGTGTGTCAGGGTACTCTATAGGCACGGCGGAGCCCGTGCCCAAATCTGTGCCTACTTTAAAGAATATTAAAACCCTTTCATTCGATTAGTCTCATATTTTTCGCAAATTCCCCGGGCCTTCCTCGTTCTCCTCCAACGCCACCGCAATCCTCCTCCGCCCTTACTCGTACCCATCCTTAGCCATCTCTGATCCATCTCTTCTCCCTTCCTAACAATGTCTTCTTCAAGAAACACTTCTTTTCGGGGGAGTATCCATGGCCGGGGTAGGTTCCATCGGTCGCTGTCTAGAGAGTCGTCAGAATCTCCTTCGCCGGCGACTACCCCGCAATCTTTTTTCAATATGCAAGTTGACGGTGAGGAGATGGTTGAGGGCGGAGGTGACGTGCGATGAGAATTGAAGAACCGGCGGTTCCTCACACAAAAGAAAGCGTTGTGCCGTACGCCGAACGTCCACGGTTCA